AATTAACACAACATTGTAAATCAACAATACTTCAATAAAATTTTTTTAAAAATATTCCAGTAAGTTAAAATTCCCCTCTAAAACATACACACACAACCATTAAGCAGAAGAATACTGTAACACTTTAAATAAATATCCTAGCACTTCAATTAAGTATTCTCAGAAAAGCACTTGTAGATGTCAAAAATATCTCGAACCAGATATTTTAAAATTTAAAACATCAATGGATATAAGACTGGAAGAAATGAAAAAAGTTCATTTACCTCAGGAAAGAAACTATTTCAAAAATTAAGATAAAAGTCACAAGGTGTTCAAAATATATATACTTGAGTAAAAAGTTAATAAGGGGCATTGAATAAAGGCAGGAAAACAATAAAGAGAATAAGGATGAGATAAAGAATAAAGCAAAAATTATCAGAAAGAAAGTGAATAAAAGGAAGAGACAAAGGAAGTCAAACATTTTGGAGTACTTGAAGAAGGAAAACAAAATCATAGAACTAATATTTAAAACTATAATCAAAAAAAGTTCCAAAAACAAAAGATCTGAACCTATATATAGAAAAGATATGTATTTTATTTGGGAAAATTAACTTGGAATAGCCAGCTCTAGGTTTCTGATATTCCATAGCACCTAAAAGAGTATAGAAATGCAATTCTCTCTATATATAAACAAAATAAGATGTCAGAGTAACTAACCTCTGATGATTCGTTGTTCCAAAATATCGTCACATTCTTAATCATCACGAGTTCAAATTTAGAGTTTGTGAATATATATTCTCCAACCTTCACAAAGGCTATCTCTCCATTATCATCTAATTGCCAATTTAGAATATCATAGTATCCAGCCACATCTCCATTATCATCAACTTCTATTCTCATTCCATTATGGGTTGTAAACTTAAGTGTCTTCAAATAATACATTAACTAGAAAAAAAGGGGGGAAAACAACAGGGAAAAAAACAATTTTTAAAAATTTGATTGCCTAGAAAACAGGGTTTATAAAGAAAATAATCTCAAAACTCCTGTCTAATTCATGGGACTGAATTTTTTCCTATTCCTCTATACCTTTGCTGTCTAATACAAGAGCTCCTAGCCACATATGACAATTGAAATTTGAAAAGTGGCTGGCCAAATTGCGATGGGCTATAAGGGTAAAATACACACTGGGTTGCAAAAGTTAGTTCAAAAAAATGTAAACTCTCTCCTTAATAATTTCATGTAATTATTCTTATATTAAGTTATCCTGATTATGACCAAATGTTAAAGTATTATTTGGGGTTAAATAAAATATATTAAATTTAACTTCATCTGTTCCTTTTTATTTTTTAATTTGGCTACTATAAAAATTTTAATTACCTGTGTGGCTTTTAAATTTCTATTAGACAGTACTGATCTGTACCAAGGTAAAGTGATGCCTAATATTTCCTAATACCTACAAACCTAGGGAAGAGAGGATATTCCCTCTTAGATTTCTTCACTAATAGGTACCAGTCTACCCTACTACCATCATTCCCTTCCCTGCATGTCAGGTGCTAGAGACGGGAAGATCAAGACCCATTCCCCACCCTTCCAAAGTTCACAGTCCAGTAGAAGGGCTAGAAATAAACAGGTACTAACGGTAAATTCAATGTACTCTGTGTTGCTGATGTGGAAAGAGTGTTGAGAGGGCATAGATGAGGGAGTGGCTAACTAACTGCCTTAGGAACACTGAAGGAGGTTTCCCCAGGAAGTAGCCATCTGAGCTGGGTTTTAAAAAAACTTAGGCCTTCCCGCTCCCTAATCCTGACGTCAGAGCGGCGCCGGCCTGAGAGGCTGAGGAGACGGGGAGGAGGTCACGGCGGCTGGAAGATGCTGCACTTTGGCGTAAATTGCTATCGATTAAGGATCGTTTCTCAGACTCAAGTTAGAAGGGAGAGTTCAGATAAGTAAGGCCGCCATTGCTGCTTTGAACACCTCTGAAGGGGAAAATGGATTTATCAGGAGTGAAAAAGAAGAGCTTGCTAGGAGTCAAAGAAAATAATACAGAAGTCCAGCACTGGGGCTCCTTCTCCTACCAAGCGCAAAGGCGGCTCTGATGAGAAGTCCAAGAATCGCTCTAAAAATATGGGGGCCACCAAGAAGTCGAGCGAGAAGGATCGTGACAGGGATAAAACTCGAAAGAGGCGCAGCGCTTCCAGTGGTAGCAGCAGCACCAGGTCTCGGTCCAGCTCGAACTGCAGCTCGGGCTCGAGCACCAGCACGGGCTCCAGCCGCGGCTCCAGCTCATCTTCAGCATCGAGCCGCTCAGGAAGTTCCAGCACATCCCGCAGCTCCAGCTCCGGCAGCTCGCCTGGCTCTCCCAGTCCTTGTCGGCGCAGGCAGGACAACAGGCGGCGTTCCCGCTCCAAATCCAAACCACCCAAAAGAGGTGAAAAGGAAAGGAAAAGGCGGAGCCCTTCGCCTAAACCCACCACAGTGCACATTGGAAGGCTCACCAGGAATGTGACCAAGGATCATATCATGGAGATATTCTCCACCTATGGGAAAATTAAAATGATTGACGTGCCTGTAGAAAGGATGCACCCGCATCTGTCTAAAGGCTACGTGTATGTGTAGTTTGAGAATCCAGATGAGCCCGAGAAGGCGCTGAAGCACATGGACGGAGGACACATCGATGGCCAGGAGATCACTGCCACCGCTCTGCTGGACCCCTGGCCTCGGCCACCTCCCCCGCCCCCCGGCGATTCAGCCCTCCCAGGAGAATGCCGCCACCGCCTCCCATGTGGCGCAGGTCACCCCCACGGATGAGGAGAAGGTCGTGTTCCCCTTGGCGCGGTCCCCCCGCCGCCGCAGCCGCAGGAGCCGCTCCAGCTTCAACTCCTCCCGATACGCAGGGCCACTGAAGCTCTGCCCTGTGACTTGGACTCCCATCCAGCTCACTTTTGTCACTTTTCTAGACGAAGGAGGATCGGTAGGAAAGAAATCCCTCACTCAGAGGCAGGCTTCGAAGGTGAAGGCAGTAACTGCTACATTTCCCCTGGCGGCAGAGTTCCGGCTGCAGGAGTGTTGTTGGTTTGGGGTCGTGCTTATAAAGATGCCCTCCAGTTTTCTGGCTAGAAAGCTTCCACAGTTCCTGAGAGTCAGTTTAGTGACAAAGCCAGCAGGGATGAACAGGGGGCTCCAGGAGGTGGTACAGCCCCAGCCTGGGAGCATGTTTTCCCGTTCCACAGGTGACCCGGGGCCGATCTGGTGGCCTGCTCGTGCCCTAACCTGTTGGCCTCGGGGTCCCACAGGAAAGGGTGTGATTTTATGCAGCTGCCGTTCCAGTTAGCCTGGCCCTACTCCTCTGCTTGAGTCCTCTTCTGACCTCTAGGGCCTAATACCCCAAATGGTTCTTTTCACGTGTACTCATGTGCGTGCACACACACATCTCCCTTTCTCTCTGAAACTCGTAAGTCGAGAGCCAGCTCTGTCGGGTCACCACAGAAGCAACCCACACACACACGTTGTGTTGGTATTCATGGTGGTCCGGCAAGTTACCTTGGCAATGTGTACATTGCTTTTTTGGCTTTTATTGTACAGTCGGTACTATACATTTTCTGTTTTGAGTTTTGTAATTTTGTGGCATTTTAGATAATATTGTGTTTGTACTTTGTTGTGTAGAGAAAAGAATTGTGTTGATAAACCTAGGATTAGCTCAGAAAAAGAAAAAAAATAGTAGCAAGTTGCCTGACAAATACTGGAATCAAAGAGATTCTAAGGCAAGGGAATAATATGTAAGACAAGGGTGTGCCAAAGAGGCCATTGCTATGAGTACAAAAGTGGATGGAGCTGATTGTACACCTACAGAATAACTTCATAGACATAAATAGGAACCCCCTAACAAAATAATACCTCTAGTACTCTTGCTTTACCCAGTCAACCTTAGCTGGGGTAAGAGCATACGTTCTTTAGTATGAAGGTAACCAGTCTGCACTGAGATATATCCTGTGCCCTTGGTCTTTGTCAGCACCACATGCTAGACTTATGTCTCCCAACCAGAGGGCCCAGTCCAATCCCTAACCCTCCACAAACCAGAGAAACAACATAGCAGAAAGAGCCTGAATTATGGTGTATGATGATTTGGAGTCATATTTTGGGTCTGTCAAATGACATAACCTTAGGCAAGTCATATATCCTAACTAAGCATTAGTTTCCCAGTCTGTAAAAGAAGGGAAATCATCCCTGCCCTACCTCTGTCATAGAGATTAAGGTAATATAGCTAGAAGCTTTTAGTAAGTCAGTATACAAAGGTAAGTATTATAATAATCACCATCTACCAGTAGGGCTACTCCAGGTCACTTGCTCTTTTATCTCTCCCTCTTTTACTGTATGCTATTCTCAGTCAACATGAAATCTACATCAGAGTTCACAACAGGGTGACTTTTACTGCCAAGTCCACTGGGGAGAGGCATGTTTTTCTTTCCCAGTCTTCAGAAGACTCAAGCAAGGAAATTTTCAAAGGCTGCAACCTTACAGCCTTTCCATAATTCCATCTGTTTATCATCATTGGATGGTAGGACAGTTCCCTACCACGAGGCATGAAAAAGAATTTAGAAATGTCCAAATAAACCACAAGAGTAAAACGGTTTTACATACACATATATATATATGTTCTGACCAAGTCTGCTAATGAGATAAGCTGAGAAAAATGATCATGAAGTGCATTATCATTTTGGTTTTAAATAAATCACAATTTTTTACTTTTTGATGCATTTATGAAGCATCCTTAAATGTGCCTATTAACTCTCTCTACTGTGAGGTCTTACTTTTCAGTTTTTACTTACATCATTCCGGGAGTGTGTCAAAGAGCATGAATTCTCCCTTGGACTACACCACCACCATTCACCCTAACACTATGTGGTCCCTTGACCCTCCCTAAAAACTCTTTTCTCTGCAATCCTAACACAAATTTGTTGCTTTTTGAGCAAATTTAAATTGTAATATTGAAATCTTCAAATAACAAATTAGAGATTGTTGTTTACCATATAAAAAGATCCTTTTTGTTAAAAAAGTACTCAGAGGATTTCTTTTAAAATGAAAGAACTCACCTATAGCATAACTTAATTTCTCATTTTGAATTTACCACAATTTCCCTAGTACCGATGAACAACTTAGTACTCAGATCTTGCTTTCTAAATTCCATTCTCCAGTAAATGGAAATAGGACTCTGGAGAAATGGCTACTTCAAGACTGGGGCAGAGAAATACAACACAATACAATACAAATTGTCCAACCTGGAGAATTTTGAGCAACAAAATGCATAATGATAGCTATGAATTATTATACTCATAGAACAGTATATCCATGAGTCCATGTGATGCAAATAAATTAGTGAGGGAAAAGTATAATTCCATTTAATAAATGTAGAAGGAATGAGGGAAATAGAAAAAAAAATCACCATTTTAAAAATAACACAGTAATAGTTGTTTCAGGCAATAATCGTCATCAAAGGATGCTAAACTTTGTGGATCAAAGCATTACGTAAAACAATATTTTCAGAGCTTCAAAATATTGCCTCACAATATAATTATTAATTACAAAGGGAAACATAGTAACTTTATAATGGAAAAACATGGTGACATCACTGTCACTAAGTAATCAAAGTTAATGTCACCATTAATGAGACATAGTGACATCATGTACCTCCTGATATGAGACAGAGAAAAGGATACATATCACCTTTACAGTATTATAGCCATAAATGCATAACCTAAATGTAATCATGAGGAAAAAAATTAGACAAACATAAATTGAAAAACATAAATAGCTGTCCAGTACTTATGAAAAGTATCACGTTCATTAAAAAAAAAAGAATGAAGAATTGCCACAGATTGGTGGAGGCTAAAGAGATACAAAACTAAGTGCATCGTGGGATCAATTTGAAAATAAAAATAAAAGTGAAGATGCAGTGGTTCCAGCCATTGTGGACCCTGTTGGGACAAGCAATTTGGTGTTGCTGGAAAATAAAGTGGTGAGGGTCATGGAAAGAGCAATGGAGTCAGAGATGCTGATGGCATAGATCGTAGAGGGCTGACAGTGTCAGACCAGGCATGCTCATGCTTTATCCTTTATAGGAGAGGGGAGGTACTGAAGGATGTAAGCAGAGGAGCCCTCTGATTAGGTGTGCATCTTGGTGAGACCATTAGGGTTTCTGTGTCCCAACATGAATTGCTGGGACGTCAGACCTGAGACAGGAGATGTGAGAGCCAATCTCCAAGGTGGTCCTAACAATCTTCACCTCCTGGCCTTCACACCCTAGCATGGCCCCTCTGACACTGCACAAAGACTACATTTTCCAGTTTCCCTTGCAGCTACATGTGACCATATAACTAGATCCCGGCTAATGGGATGTAAAGAGAATTGTACGTAATTTCCAGGAAATGTCCTTAAATGGAGCCATATACGCATCTTTGTCCTTTCTCCTTCCTGCTGGTTAGAGTGTGGACATGATGGTTGAAGCCCAAGTAGCCATATGGAATTATGAGGTGAACGCACAGATTCAGAGTGATGAAATGACAAGGTAGAAGGAACCTCAATCCCTAAGCCACTCTTTCAGTCCCAGAATGCTAACCTCCAAACTTCATTTATGTGAAGGAAAAAAACCTATCTTGTTTAAAGCACTGTATGGGGGGGTTTCTATCATTCACAGCAAACCTAATAATAACTCTGTTAACAAATGGAAACTCTAAAATGCCCATTTAGGTAACATAAGCAAGCCATTCTTTTAGGGGGCATGTGATAAAATCATGTCTATGAAGTACAAAAGCAGATCAATGGTTTTAATTGTATGAATGCTTTTTATGTCAAACTATATCATGAAGTAAAACAAACCACAACTTACCTGCCAAGGTTCAAAATCAGTATATATGCACAGGTGTTTCCTGGAATATATGGCCAGTGTCCTTCCTCACATCTACTTAGATGATCCAGGGCATATGCCATAGAATACACAACTTGGTTGACATTGTGTGTAATTTTTAGCTGAGACACATCCAGATAGGTATTTTTAAGATCTTCCAACTTCTCCTTTCCAGTATAGAATTTATCAGACATGGCGTGTAATCTGTCCTCTTTGCCAGTCATATTCACTCTATGGTCAGTGTTGTATGGAACACTACTCTTGGGCCAAGTACAGTTAAAAGCAGTTTGCCAAAATTCAATGGTCAGGACATCATTTGGATCCTTGCCAGGATTTACATCATAAAGAAGTTCTTTTAATCCCAGTATATCAGCTCTTGGTATTGAAAATCCAATATTTCCACCAAAATACAAGAAATATTCAGGCTTTGCAATGAGAGCGAAGGCGATCCAGGCTTCACTCGCTATCCATGTTCTGTCAGTTATGTTATGGTAAACCATTTCCAGCATGAAAGGACTTAGGTCAATATCAGATGCATAGAGCACAATGACTCTGGCATTGGAGTTCGTTATAGCATCAATAGCTTTTTGCATTTTCTCATTAGAATGGACTTTGGGACCCAACCAAAATGTTGGATAAGTTGTACCATGGCCTCCGACTGGATCTTATCACTGGCTACTGTGTGAAGATAAGATGGAAATTTGTCACTAAGAAGTGAGGAGGTAGAGGCGTAACCCACCTGCAACTGAAAATATTCATGCAGTTATTAGAAAGCAATAGCCAAACCTCAAATTACAACTTCTGAGTATCTGTATTGGAGAAGGAGGGAACTTAACAGTTCTCCCTTTATTCTCACACCCTTCCAGAGACAAAAGGACTTCTACTCCTCTCCCTGCTCCGTGGGTGGTGGGGACTGTTAGGGGGAGCACTTTGGGCCTCCCTATCCACCCTATTTCCACCTCACCCCACCCCAAGGTAGCTGGAGGAGCTAATTATTAAGGTGATGACATTCAATGCACCACTTTTCATACTCAGGGTCACATACTCGGAAAGGGAGGTGACCAGTCCTTTCATCTATGTTTTCTTGAGACTAGGTGTGTGATTCAAGCCATCCAGGCTCTTTCTCTGATCTAACTCGTCATCCATACAGATGATGGAGTAAGCAGACTCATAATCTATTTGTCAGGCCCAGTTCCTCTTTCTTTTCTTTTCTTTCCTCTCTCTTTCTCCCTTTCTCTCTTTCTCTCTCTCTCGCTCTCTCTCTCTCTCTCTCCCTCCCTCCCTCCCCCCCCACCCCCCTCTCCACTGCTTTCTCTCTTTTTCTCCTCTTCTCTTTCCTTGTTTCTCTCTGCCGGGCCTTCTGGGTATTTAAGTCCTAAGACTTAGACTGAGAAAGACGGTAGGAAACTCCACTTCCACCTCAGGTTTAAGTCTTATTCTCCAAAAGAGTTACTAGAGGCCCTCATTTTATAGGCACTTGCTAGATAAACGAAGAGGTATTTTTCTCACCTTGCCAGTGGTCCTTGTGCATATTTTCTATCAGTGAGAACTTAAGAATGAAAGTAGAATGGCCAGTAACATGAATTTCTGACAATCTTACATACATTTCTGCTGTACCTTACTCTCAGCCTCAGAGACTCTGCAGTTAATAAGATATGTCACATTCTCTCCTATCCCATCCCATTGCTATCCCATGTTATTACTGCATCACTTCCAATAAGACCTCCTATATTATAATTACATAGCTCCATGATTGCCAATTCTTTCATAAGCGACAGATTATTCCTATTTTTCTCTTTATCCTTTGTCCTATCCTTACTCCACTGGCTAAAGTTTACATTCTTCTTTGGAACCTCCCAAGCACCAACATCATGGAAGCCATATGTAGGAAAGAATCTCATTTACGAAGCAGAGACACCTGATTTCTAATTCCGGCTACATGATCAGTGTAAGATTGTGGATACTAAAACCTGCTGAAATCAGTTTCCCCATGAGTGAAATCAGGGTTATGACATCTACATTTTAAGGTTGCTCAGCATATTAAATGAGACAACACACGTGAAAGTGTCTGTTGTATGTAAGATTTCTTTTACCCTCTTTGCAGATTTACTACAAGACTTAAATGAGAAGATCTATCTAGAGGTTTCTAGTAGGTGCCTGGACCCCAGTCGGTATTTGGTGGAAAGCAGAGCTCACAGCAGCAGCAATTTGTCTAAGCTGCATGAAGCCCACACTGAAGGTGTCGGCTGTGTCACCTGACCCCTCCTCTTGGTTCTGTTCTTCAGTATTACCCTGTTCCCCCTACATTTGTATTTGCAGCTTTATAAGACACACTTTGTAAATGCCACTTTTTAACAACTCCCATTACTTCAGTAACACAAATAAGCTTAATCATCCTTCACACTAATAAGTCCTGACTTGATATTTTTGTGAACCACCCCTGGAAATAAATATAGAACTTTACTTATATTTTCTTTTCTTTTTTTTTTAACATATTTATTGGAGTATAATTGCTTTACAATGGTGTGTTAGTTTCTGCTGTATAACAAAGTGAATCAGCTATATGTATACATATATCCCCATATCCTTTCCCTCTTGCATCTCCCTCCCACCCTCCCTATCCCACCCCTCTAGGTGGTCACAAAGCACCGAGCTGACCTCCCTGTGCTACGCGGCTGCTTCCCACTAGCTATCTATTTTACGTTTGGTAGTGTATATATGTCCATGCCACTCTCTCACCTCGTCCCAGCTTACCCTTCCCTCTCCCTGTGTCCTCATCCATTCTTCCTAATATCATCTATTCTTAGGTTGAAATGTGTCACTGTCCCTGAATTTAAAATAATCTGTAAATTAGCATCCCAGCTCATTTCAGTATGTTAGCGTATGAACAAAAAGGGTCATGATTAATAACTATTAATACAGGCCAGAAACAATGAGTTCCTTATACCATCTATCAATCAACCAACAAGTATTTCTCAATCACCTACTCTGTGCTTCACCCAGTGTTTTCGAGTGTACTGCCTAGGGAGATGTCAACATACAAATCACTAGGTCACAATCTCAAGCTCAAACCTAAGGCAGGATCCTAAGGGATGTAGAACAGTCTGAAATCACTAGTCACACTTGCTGAGGCCAGACTGAACAGAGTAATTAGGGGCATCAGCATTACCACCATCCTGTTTGTCTGTGTAACTTATCCCAGCCTCACCTGAGCACCTAACATACTCTTTGCAGCAATTTTCACATACCTTGTGTTTCTTTATAAGTTAGTACCCAGGACAATATTCTGAAATACCCTAGGTAGGTAATACAACCCTAGAATTCTTGAAGCAGCAACTGGTAAGGATGATCCACCTGCTCCAACAATTCCTGCCAGCACTGCCCCGGTGCTGCTTCTAAAACTGGGCTTGTTTTCTTCCTGCCCTGTGAGGAATACCAATGCCGCTTCCATGGATTTGGAGATGGTGAAACAGGTATCCAAGATCTGATAGCCCAAAGTGATGTTGGGCAAAATATCCTTCCTTTCATTAATCTCCCTGATGGTGTGGATCACGGTTTTCATCCAGCGGAATCCCCGGAAGTTGAACCTGGAAAGGAAATCGTTTTTGTAAGGCCTTAGTCAGTGGGTGGATCTGTGGAGGGGAAAGCAGCTTTTAACTGGGATTGGTGCTGAGAGCATTTTGCCAAAACGTCAGGGGGCACCTGCCTTGTGTGAGCATGTTAATATTTCCTAAAAAGATATTGCAATTTAAAGGGTTCAAGTATGAATCATATTCATTATTGATTGGTTTGGGCTGGGAAGCATCTTTTTGGACAGCTGATTATCTCTTTTCACAAAAATATTCTTATATTCGCAATTCTCTCCACCACGCAGAACACGCAATAATTCCTCAATACATTTTTTCCCATTCATTGGAAGTCCCCGGTACCCTATGAGTCTCCTTTCCCTCTTCCTTACGTTCCTATAGGTTTCTCCTGGTTTCTTCTAGATGTTAAGTATAATAATAAAAGTTTTGTAAATACATAAAAATACTTATGATAGGACTATATAAAAGCAGTACATAATATTTATATATATGATATATATTATGACTCCAATAGATTATTTTTCCTGCCATGATTTGATTGTTAGTGTTGAGATTTTTTAATTAAGAAACGTCTCTTTCCTATCACTCTTACATTTAACCATGAATGAGATGCCTCCTCCTTTCCATTCCCTAGCCACAAAAAGGAAAAGTACTTCCCTTTAGTCCATCAGCACATTTTTTTTCAATTTCTTCTCCATTAAAAATAAATATTCTATTTCTAACTCTCTTTCTTTCTTCCCAGTTTTAAGCAAACTTTAACCTATCTGAAAGCAAGGACTTCCAGGATGTTTTCTCTTAATGTCCTCTGTAGCTCTAGTATCTAACTACCTATCTTCTACTCAATAAATATTTTTGAATTAAATATCTAATAGCAAATAGCCCTGTTGGCAGATTAGATTTTTCCTCCATGTCTCTTTAACTGGGTTTTTTAGTTTAGTTTAGCTTTGCCTTTTATTCAACACGTAGTTACTGAGTTGCACTGGTGCGAGACACTATAAATGCAACAGTGAAAAAGACAGGCACTGCAGCGTCTAGGCAAAGAAACAGAAAAATAGCCATGCACAAAACGATAAACACAGCGATAGGGGTAGACATAGGGACCAGCAGTTAAAGGGGTGGGGAACCTTGCCCTGGGGGACTTAACAGCCAAGCTAAGTCTTGAAGGGTAACATAAAAACAGGGGACGAATGCTGCAAGTAGAGGGCACGGTATGTGTGAAGGCATGACAACAAAAGAACCTAACATTCTAGGAATGGGAAGATCAGGACACTTGGAGAACAGGGTAGGAATAGGTATGGCATGGGAAGAGGAGACTGGAGAATCAGGAGTCTGAACATGAAGGGCTTTATCGTCCTAAGACAACTGGCCTCTAAATTTACACAGATGGCCATACAAATTGGCATACACATTTTTGAAATAAATATAGCAATATCTTTTTTAAGGTGAGAGAGTAATACATTTCAAGAGCTAGAAAATGTTCACCTGCTTTGAATCAATAATTACACCCCAGAGAATTTATCTGAAGGTACTGTTCTTCCCAAAAGAAAAAACTAGGTACGTTCCAAACTGTTCATTTTAGAATTATTTATAATATTGAAAAATTGGAAAGAATTTACATGCTCATTATGGTACATTGACTTGATAGGAACATTTTCCATCATTAAAAAACTATAATTAGAGAAATTACACTGCAGCATGCATATAATAGTAGGTAAAACAGTCTGTATGCAATGTTGTTTCTATACTATAATTAAAACTACACATAAATTATGTGAACATTTGGATAACTATCAACAGGTAAAAATTTTAAATGGGTACAGGATAATTACTGAAAGGGTGGGATTTGGGATGATTTTTCTTTCATTTGTTGATTTCCATTATGATACTCACAGTATCCTTATACAATGTATACCTTTTGTTCCGCAGAAAATTTCTCTAAATCCTACCTTTGTTTAGATCAACCAAAACAAGAATTAAAATACTCCCTTCTTCCCTCCATTTCACTGTCTTCTCTGCTCTGAACAACATTTTCAAAATAAAAGTTTTCCTCTTCTGTTCACTTTGGCTGATGGCCAACCAAAACTAGTATCCCGTTAAAATTGTGGGTTTCAGAATGAGACTTCTCCAAACTCCAACTTGCATATCTAGATCAGTTACAGGTAAACGTTAATGACGCCAAAATGAAATTGTTATCCGATTACGCCCAGCTCCTGAGTGCCAGCTATCCAGGCCTCCCATGAGGGCTCTCCCATTGGGAGGGAGGCTAGGGGAACATTGGAATTGGGTACAGATAGAAACTGTTGATGGTTATTGGTGAAAAGTCATTTTATAGCTCTAATTTTGAAGAAAATATATCAAAAAATGTAAATATGGAATGTTATTAATATCCAATAGATATGTTTAGGATGGATTTAAGTGCTGGGAAAGTTTTAGGCTTGTATGGTGTGAAGATGAGCAATTTGGGTTTCAGTCAACAAGCCGGGAGACAAGCAGAATCCCCGCAATGATGCCTTACATTACTGATCCACATTCAGGACAAGGAACTGGCTTTTTAGATGCCCTGGATCATGTGAAATAAGTTTCATACAAAATATGAAGAATCAGAATGTCATCAGACTTCTCAGCAGCAACACTGGCAGTCAGAAGATGCTGAAGTAATCTTTTCAAGGATCCTTAGGCTTTGAGTGAAAGTCAAGATGGAGTAAGCACATACCACCCACTCTCTCTCACCAATTACAATTAAGATCCCTGGACTGAACATATAAAGCAACTATCAGACTACTCTGAAAATTAAATAAGAACAGTGGACTAGAGATGGAAATCAAAATATCCCTGGGGACTTCCCTGGTGGTGCAGTGGTTAAGAATCTGCCTGCTAATGCAGGGGACACGGGTTCGAGCCCTGGTCCAGGAAGATTCCACGTGCTGTGGAGCAACTAAGCCCGTGTGCCACAACTACTGAGCCCGTGTGCCACAACTACTGAAGCCCATGTGCCCGCGCTCCGCAATGAAGAGTAGCCCCCACTCGCTGCAACTAGAGAAAGCCTCTGCACAGCGACGAAGACCCAATACAGCCCAAAATAAATAAATAATTTATTTTTTTAAAAAACCCAAAATATCCCTGATACAGTGAATTATTTTTTAAATGGGACATACTTACTTCTCACCACTGTGTCAATCACAGTAGATATACCAAACTATTTTTTAATGAGGGGGTGCATTTTTACTAAAAATATGTGTAGGCCTTTCTATTTTACCTTGCTAGGAAGATAACCTTCAGAAGCTCCAATGAAGGGTGAAGAACAAGTTAAGTGATTCCACTGATGAAATATGAGTGTACTATACTGTGACAAACTCTGGTTTTCATTTTATGTTATTAAAGATTGAATCAGTGAAAACTTCTCTGATAAATAATGAACTGGCTCTAAATAATGTAGCCATGAGCAAAAGTGCTTCTTTCCCACTTCCCTTTGCTTCACTGTAAGAATGGAAAAGAATTAGAAGGTCCAGGAAAGAGCTAAGTACAGACTGACTGCAATCCTTTCCTTTTGCCAACATACAGTTTATCCACCCCTTTAGTGCTATTTCAAATATGTAGCATGAAATATGACCAAAGGGAAGGAGTTATGATCAGTAAAGATTTAGTTGTATAAGAAGTTGCCAAAATTTTTACAGCATGCGTTTGTAATTATAATTACCACGCAGCATCATGGAAGTGATTAAGATATGATGTAAAATGCCCAATATAAAACTGTGTCCATGCTATTGCCACATTATGAAAAGATTACAGTTGCATTTATATAAAGGGCTGAGAAAGAATATATGGAAATGAAAGGAAAGAGCTGCTTTGTTATGGTAGTAGAACAGTGTGGACAGAAATTTTCCTTTAATTTCTGGCATTCTTTTCATATCAAAAGTGTGTGCGTGTTTCACACCCAGAAATATAACCCATGTTTGCTTTTCTTACAATGGATTCCTTGCAAATTCAGATTATCAGTCATGGATCCCATTTCTTGACATGACAATTTTTGGGATGAGGGGAGTAGGGTAGAAGCCTTCCAACTGGAGGAATCTTGCTTATGAACACTAGCTCATAAATAAATCGGCATTCCAGCACTGTGTATTTTCACCTGGGGAGACTTCAGTCTAATGACAATTCAAAGTAAAGCTGCAACACTGCACAACTCTACATCATGCTTCTCAAACCTTAATGTGTACATGAATCATCAGGAGGTCTTGTCAGAATGCAGATTCTGATTCAGCAGATGTGGGATGCAGCCTGAGACTCTACATTTCTAACAAGCTCTTAGATGATGCTGATGCTGGTGGTCCACAGACCACCCTCTGAAGAGCAATGTTCTATATCATATAAAACCTGTCTTTTTTCTTTCTTGTTGCTAAGCAATCCTAGAATGTCTACCTCAGAGAAATTGAGGCACAGAAACAGCAAGTACCTATCCTGAGTCAAATAAATAGTGTCAAAGTCAGGGCTGGCATCATGGCTCCAGTTCCAGACTCTGATTCCCACACCCACCACTCATTTACCCCCACCTCCTACAACTGATGTAAAAAGAAAAAAAAAGAATGTCTTACCCTTCACATTTCGCTGATACTGGCTCCAAAATAGACTCATTCGCTGCAGTGGTCCTGGAATGAATAGGAAACAGTCCTCCAATAACAAGTGAAGGGTTTCTGGCACCTACATACCCATTCATATCAAACTAGCCCAGCAGCTGACAGGTCTGTCCTTCCTCTTCTTTGCCTTCAATGCCCAATTCAGCCCATAAAAAGGCAATCAGTCCTAGAACCAAGCATTTCTTTCTGCTAGCCATTTTAATAAGGAGAGTTTGGGAGAAATGACCAGTGTTAAAAGTTTTAACGAGGTACCTTGACAGAGCGTTCCAGTGAGCATGTGCATGCCCCATCACAGGGGACTCAGCTTGCCACTACTTGCTACCTAATTGTCATGCCTCAATCAATCACAGAGCCTCACACTCACCTGCAATTTATGCATCTGCACTAGGAGCTGAGTAATCCTTTTGAAAAGAGCCTCATAAAAATCTCTTTTAGGCTTAGCAATAATATATCATGACAGAATAGCAGATTCTGAGTTTAGAGTCTTTCACTTTGTAGAAATTGTCCCTTTCTTGTTTATCAGCCTCATTCATTCTCACTTCAGCCAGCCCTGTGGGAGCTGCACTTGCCCCAAAAGTGCAGAAGGGCATTCTGATTCATCACGAAGTATAAAAACAGGAGACTTCAGGTCAAGCTCTTTCCTTAAAGATATAGAAAAAAGTTGAATGGAAAACCATGGGGGATTTGGACTAGAAGACATCATTTTGAATCTGTGTTCTGCCACTTGTATTAGTGTGATGGTGGGAAAGTCACTTAATTTCTATGCCTCAAGTTTCTTATTAGTGACTAGGATGATAATAAGCTGCCTAGAAAAATTCTGTAAAGCCCGTAAGCGTTCAAGGAATATTTTTCATATGCATCATTTTCTTTCATCTCCTCTTCAAGGTGAAGTGTCGCCCTCAGCTCACGTGGCTGACCTTGTCACTGGTTCAGGGACAAATCCCTGAGAATTTCTGGGCTCCTTCCTCAGAATCCCCTCTTGTGCCTTCTTGCTTGGCCCCTCTCAGAGACGTCTTCCAACCTCTCTCTCCAGGTCAATTCATCATAGATTCCCAGTCACCTTCTTTGGCCCTTCTCAAACATCCCCCCTGGGAGTATAAATTCATAGAGTATTTTCAGAATGCAGTCCAGCAATATGTATCAGGAACGTGAAAAATGTGTATACCCTTTGATCATCTGATTTTACTTCAAAGTATTTATCCCAAGGAAGCAATAGAGATCCACATAAACATAATGCATAAGAATATTGAGTACAGTTTTATTTATAATAGTGAAAAAATTGGACGAACTAAATGTACACAGTAGGGAGTTTCTAAAATCAATTACAATCTATTCACGTGACAGAAAACAAAGGAGCCATTTGAATCATGTTTTAGAAAAATATTTATTCACAACATAAAATTTCAATATGCTTGGGACTTCCCTGGTGGTCCAGTGGTTAAGAATTTGCCTTCCAATGCAGGGGACACGGGTTCGATCCCTGGTCAGGGAACTAAGATGCCACATTCCGCGGGGCAACTAAGCCCACACACTCTACAGCCTGCGCGCCACAACTAGAGAGAAGCCTGTGCGCCGCAAGGAAAGATCCCACATGCCGCAACTAAGACCCGATGCAGCCAAATAAATAAATAAAGTTTAAAAAAATATTTCAATGTGCTTAACACAAAGATAAGAGCTAACAAACCAGTGTATAAAATCTAAATTTCTAAACTTTACCAATATATTACAGCTCTCTTTCCTACACATATTTCCATTAAAAGCACTAGAAGAAACCACTGCAAACTGAAATAAAAAGAAAAAAGAAGAAAAAAAATCCCTTTTCCTACTGTTTTAATGAACCAATGTTTTTCATGCTTCCATGTTCATTGCCAGCCCAGACAGACACCCATGCAGTACTTTTAGTTAGTTTTTGGTGGTAGATTATGCGTGATTTTAATTTTCTTCATTATACTTTTCCGTATTTTCCCACATGTTCTACAATATTCTTGTACTTCTTTGATAAACAGAAAAAATACTACTGTAAGAAAAATCCCCCCCTCTGTTTTACAACTCCTCCACACATGCACATTCCACTGCAATCCCCTCTACACACGAACACACACAGTTACTCCCCTAATATTATCATTATCAGTCACCTGGGTCCCACCAACCCTTCCACACAAAAGTCATTTCCTTTACTTCTCCACTGAAGAATTTCCAGTACATATTTGTTGGTTAAGTATAATCTCTACCTGACTCTGGGGAATCCCAAAAGAGTGCCTCCCATTACCACTTCACTGGTGGAATTGCAGGCCCACACCACAGTCCCCCATAGCTGACTAGACCTTCACAAGCGAGCTAGTGGGTGGCATGCCCTTGGCCCCTGATTGACATCTGTCTGTCAATTATTTGACTAGTCTTAGTTTTCTAATATGAGCATGGTCCACAGATTCCACCCTCAGTCTTTAAAAATGATACTGGGGTTTCCCTGGTGTCACCGTGGTTGAGAGTCCGCCTGCAGATGCAGGGGACACGGGTTCGTGCCCCAGTCCGGGAAGATCCCACATGCCGTGGAGCGGCTGGGCCCGTGAGCCATGGTCGCTGAGCCTGCGCGTCTGGAGCCTGTGCTCCGCAACGGGAGAGGCCAAAAAAGAGAGAGGCCAGGATAAAAAAAAAAAAAAAAAAAAAAAAAAAAAGATACTGAAATGACTTAAAGAAAAAGATGGATTACCAGGAAAATCTCTTCCCAGATAGGCTCCAGAGTCTGGCTTCCTCCAAACAAAATGGCACTCTGGGTGACAGACCATTCCTCACCAATAGCCTGAGAACCCCTCTCTTGAGCTGAAAAGGTTTGGTCCAGGGCTTTCTCAGAACTATCTGGATCTACTCCTCACTCATGTTTGCTCTTCCTTTTTACCAGAAGGCAGCTGTTTCTAAGCAATTACCCTTCTTGTTGCCAAGGGCTACCCTTGCACAAAGATATGTTTATTACCAAAGTTGTTTTGTCTTAATCCTCTGGGCAAAAGCTGCACTAGGCGCCATAAAAATCATTAAAATTGATTAATTTATACAAATAACAAAAATTAGCATTTTATACTGTACAAATTGTTTCCACATGCATCGTTCTTCCTCTAGGTCAGGAACTGGATTCAGTGTTGATGAGGCTTCTGATTTGTGTAGCTGCATCTGGTATCCAATAATTCCCAGGACGATAGTATATTTTGCTGGGGCCACATGACTACATCCTCCAAATGTAGTAGAATTCATCAAAGATGAGGCAGAGAAGAGGAAAAACATCATCTGTGCTCTTAGGCAGAGCATTTTTATTAAATGCACAGTGATGGATGTTCAACACCTCACCTTGCCCTCATGACACCCTATGGGACTGGTTTTCTTCTGTTCACTTTACAAATGAGTTCACATGGCTAGTACGTGCAAACATGCAGATACCAAAGCCTATGTCCTTTCTGAGGCCTTGTAGTAGAGAGACAAGACACAGACCGAGTCCGGGAGGGTGGGCCCTAGGTCCAGCTTCTTCGCGGCCCAGCCCTCTCCATCTCTCTGGACTAACCGGCCTTTCCCAGGGTCTATGGTGCTAAAGGAATCAGCGATGTTCTGGTTTGGGGGTGAGCCTTTCGAGGCTCTGTTCAGTGATAGCCTAACAATATGCTGTCAGAGGAAGCAGTAGCAAGTTGTTAACTATCAAGGTGAGATTGTTTACTCAATAATACTTTGAATCTAATTTTTATTTCCATGGGGCTCTGATTTCAAGAACCCCTGATCAAAGCAAAAGACATTAGAATGTTGCTGCAAATGGCCACGGGTATTTAGTCCCACGTGTCACACCCAGACTCTTAGGTCTGAGTCTGTGCGCTGCATGTTTTCACCACCCTCTCGCAGACTTGTTTGATCCTTGCTGTTCTCCCAGGGTCCTGGCGAAGGTCAGGTTCCCTTCCAAGAACAATAACACATTCTGCCCAGGCTTGTCTCTGCCTTCAAGCAAAGGAAAACACCTGAGCCCCTAAAGGTTATGAGAACTATCTTAATAACAAAGCCTATAAAAGTATTTAAAAGCTGTTTACATGGTTTCCAGGAAAAGCTCAAACTCCATATCAACTGCAGGGGAACACTGCTGCAAGTTTCAGCAAAGCCCCAGCACGACAGCAACCACAGTGAGTTCACTGTGGATTTCAGTCTCGTAGTCAGGCTCAGCTTGTTAGATATCACTTGGCTTTTATATTCCTCTCTGTCATTCCCTTACCTTTATAATCATTTAGAATCCTGGGTAATACTCATGCCACAGCATCAGATGAATGGATACACTAATCTACTCCATTTTCTTATTTCCCATGCAGAGCTGTCCTTCTAAACAGTCAAGGAATGAACCAACACTCAGTTACATGTGTTTAAATTGCTGTCTTTACGATACACATACTAGTTGGGTCTTTTTGTGGGTTTTTTTGCGGTACGCGGGCCTCTCACTATTGTGGCCTCTCCCGTTGCGGAGCACAGGCTCCGGACGCGCAGGCTCAGCAGCCATGGCTCACGGGCCCAGCCGCTCAGCGACATGTGGGATCTTCCCGGACCAGGGCACGAACCCGTGTCCCCTGCATCGGTAGGCAGACTCTCAACCACTGCACCACCAGGGAAGCCCCATACTAGTTTTTTAAATGTATGTTTCCAACAGTTAAAAATTATTACCTGTATTGAATTTTGTGATATTATGACATTATGGCTTACCTGAAAGAAGACCAAAAATAAATCAGTTTTCATAAGTGTATTGTTATATGAGGTGCAAGTTATTGATGAGAGGCCTGGAGATGTATAAGAAGCAGGCTTTTGCTTTTTTTTTTTTAACACGTCAGTACTAACCACTTGTTGCAGAAGAGTCTCCTGTGTGTCTCAATAGAGAAAGCCTTCAATTATAGCCAAGGAGAGAGACACTCAGACACCACAGGCATACAAAGTTTTAAACGGCTGCCTTGCTGATTTAAGAAAGCCACAGGTTACTATCTCTTCTGCTCCTTCTATTTTCAGGGAAATAACTCTGACAGCCTGATTAATGCCCTGCCTCTGAATCAGCTGACTCAATAAGCAGCAAACTATTAACATTCAGAAACAACGCATGCTTTCTCCCAGGATGCATCACCTGTTACATAGCTATAGTGAGCTGTGGCTGCAACAAAAATGGTGAAGATGGTAAGCAACTGACTAGAGC